GCTCTGTCACCCTCAGAGGGAAGAAGTTCTTCCTCATGTTCAGATGGAACTTCCTATGCTTCAGTTTGTGCCCGTTGCCCCTTGTCCTGTCACTGGGCACCACTGAAAAGAGTCTGGCCCCATCCTCCTGACACCCACCCTTGAGATATTTATAAGGTCCCCTCTCAGCCTTCTCTTCTTCAGGCTGAACAAGCCCAGCTCCCTCAGCCTTTCCTCATAGCAGAGATACTCCAGGCCCCTCACCATCCTCGTAGCCCTCCGCTGGACTCTCTCCAGTAGCTCCTCATCTTTCTTGAAGTGGGGAGCCCAGAACTGGACACAGTACTCCAGATGGGGCGTCACTAGGGCAGACTAGAGGGGGAGGAGAACCTCCCTCGACCTGCTGGTCACACTCCTCTTGATACACCCCAGGATCCCATTGGCCTTCTTGGCAGCCAGGGCACACTGCTGGCTCAGAGAAGAGGCGACAGGCAGGCACACAGGCCGGCAGCCCTACCTTGGGCGGCAGGCCAATGCGGTTGAAGCGCTGGCCGACTTTCGGCACCTTCTCCAGGGCCAGCCTCTTTCCTCGGGATTTCACCCTGTCGATGGCACTGTAGTTAAAGGTCTCGCTGGCCAGATACACCACCTGGGGAGACAGAAGCACAGACATCAGCAGGGGCACCCAGCAGCTGTCACAGACTGGCTGATAAAATCAAGGCACAGCATTTCCCGTGTCTCTGCCCAGCACAAGGATCCCCACGGCTTGAGCAGGAGCAGCCCCGTTCTAGAGCTCTCAACACAACATCTCCGAGGTCAGCAGTGCCACACGGCAAGCAGAACTGTGCAGAAGCACAAGAAAGCATCCCCCGGATGAGAACGCAGCAGCTGCCCCCTCACCTTCGTGCGAGGAACAATGTTGAGTTCCAGTGTCGGGACACCCGGGCTGCCCCCTGCCTCTGACAGATAACCCTGGTTGAGGACGAGGCAGTCTCTCCCGAAGCAGCACGGGCAGCACAACTTCTGCAACCACTTGGTCCACTTGGGGTTCAGCTGCCCGTACGGCTCCTCGTTCTTGGGCTTGAAGACGCCAATGATCTTCTGCGAGTAGGAGAGAGGAGGGCTGACTCAGGGCAGTTGGCAGAGCTGGGATGCTCCCCCGAGCCAGCCCACAGTGAGGACACTCAGGCACTGGCCCAGAACAGTGCCTCACTGGTGAAATAACCAGCCTCTGGGAGCAGTAAGACCCCGCAGCTCCCGGGAGGTGGGCAGGCAGGTGGGGGCTGGGAGGGACTCTTCCCCAGCCAGTGCCCCGTCCCATGAGAGCAGGGTGCTGCCAGAAAACCTTCCTACACAGCTCCCGCACCTGGAAATGACCCTCCTTGTCCCAAAAGACACCTGTGATGACACCATCCTCTGGTAAACATCCCAGTGACCTTTGGATGGCTGGCGAGAGCTACTGCTCACTGCTGCTCTTTACGTCCGCGAAGGAAGAGGGAGGGGGATAGCGATCCTGCCCTGGCTCCAAAATCCCTTGAACGGAGCCGATCCCAAACTGACCGGGGGAAATGGGACCAGAACACCCGAGCAGCTGGAGGACCCCTGAGGAGCCCAGGGCTCTGTGCTGGGGGGCCCAGCTAGAGACAGCAGAAGGGGTGGCCCTCTGGGTACATTGTGGACAAGAGGGCACGGGCAGTTCCAAACTGGCCACCAGCTGGTACCAGAAGCACTCCCAGCTCCTCAGTCCAGCCCCGCACGCATTGACCCCGCCGCTGCAGAGGGCACAGAACGCTTGTGCTCGGTGACCATGCCAGCACTGCCAAGCCACGTAGCTGAGACAGGGGCTGGGGCAGGAGCAAGGCCACCCCCGCCCATGGGCCAGGCATCCCTGGGGGGGCTGCGCAGCAGCTCCGGGCTGGCAGCCCCTGCGCTGGGGTGACTCAGCAGCACAGGCGCCCAGCCCTGCTCCCCACGGCTGGTGCCAGCCCTGGCCTGAGTGGGTGGCACTTCCCCAAGCCGAGCTCCTGCAACAGTGTGGAAGTGGGACACCAGTTGCAACACCTCAGCGGGGGACCCCAGTGCAATCCCAGTCTGCCAGGGGCCAGAAGCCAGCCCAGGGCAGGCAGGAGCAAGGTTTCGTCCACCAGAAAGAGGGAGAGGAAGGGTTTGAGGGAACAGGATCACTTGAGCCATTCCCAGATCACATGGAGGAGCTACTTCCCCTGAGCAGGCAGGAGGGCAATCCCCTCACCAGCCCCACATGAAGGCACATGGCTGCCAACACATCCTTGGCTATGAGCCTGCAAGAGGCCCATCGGGAGCTCTGGCAGCACAAAGCCCTGTGCTCCATGGAGCCAGTCCAGCAGAGCAAGGCCCAGCCGGGCAGGGACAGCACAGAAGCTGAGGCCAGAGGCCCAGCAGCACAGCGTTTCTCTCCAGACAGACCCGTGCCGGCAGCAGCACTGGCAGGGAAGACAGGTCTGCCAGGCGCCAGCAGCAAGGCAG